TTTTCCGTCTACCATTGTCATGAGCATATCATATTTATTTGACAACGATATTCTTCCCGTTTATCGTCAGCTTCAATGGTTGCAAATCCGAGATCTGTTGTTCAATATAGTCGTTTTCTTTAACCGATACCTCGATTGTTTCAGTTAGGAACTGAATATGAACTGGACGACAGTAGCGTGTTGAAGACGGTCGAGGGTTCTGAAAAAGGCACTTCTCGCCGCTTCGAGCAATAATGGGAACAATAGATGTAATAAGCATGTTGGAATCCGATTTAGCTGCATCATCGCAGTCAAATCGTTGCTTACACTCGGCGTGACCGGAACTGCCATCAAACCCTCATTTAACGGAAAGCACGACGTCGAGCAGTTCACTTTCTGAAAATTCATCAAGCTTTGAAGTATTCGCTTCGATAATTCTTGCTGCAGTATGGTCCAACAATTCTTGAAGTTTCACTTCGACAACGTCTTCGGTAACGGTGATGGCATCGCTATCTGGGTAGCAAGCTTTTTTAGCAGACAATATTTCGTGGTAGTTCGGATACAACTTAGCATTCCTCGTGTTTGCGCCATGTCTCATTTTAAGGTATTGAGATTTTGTCAAATTAGCATCCAAAATCAATGCCAACGCCTCATTATTTGAGTACGGCATGATCTTGGGCTGGCATGAGCCTTGCAGAGTTGAAAGCATCCGTTTGGCCCGAGTAGGTGTCGTACACGTGGCATTCCGGACAACAGTAGCTTCGTTACTTCTCCCGCACGATCGTAATTTCATCTGAGCTGCGTAGCATAGCTCACTTGCTGCATAATTTTTGCGAAGGTCAGTTGTCTTTTGTCTTTTAACGCTATCGGTACAGTCATCAAAAGACAACGGCTTTCGACCACGCTTAACACCGTTAGATGTAGACGGAAGTTCATTCATAATTGCTTCCGGTAATCGAAACGGTTGTTTAAAGTATTCAACGTTCTGCTCGAAAACATTGCTCAAGGTTCGGTTGTGCTTATCCCACCGCCTCTTAAAGTATTTGCACAGATTCTCTGCGATTTCAAATACCTTTGAATGAATCTGGCATGAGGTCGGCATCGATGTCGAATTTGCACAAAATATGTTGAGCCACAGAAAGACACAGTTTTAGGTGCTCCATTGGCTTTCCATAAGTGAAACAACTCATGTTTGTCGATACATTCTATATAAAACAAATTATCTTGTAGCATCTAATCATGTTCAAGCAGCCATCAATACAAGGCATTAAAAATAAAAATACGAATCCCCCTTTTCTACGTTTATCCGTAGGACGAAGAAAATCTAATGGCGTTTCAATGCGTTAGGACGGAATTGAAACTCGTAGAACGAATTTAGAATCAAGAAGCAGTATTAGATTTTGAACAATATCTCAACAATTTGTGACTGTTTATCAAATCCAACGGTACGTATAGAAAGGTGGATAAATTAAGAAGTCATCTTTGACAGAAATATTCCATTTTTGGTTTAAATTCGTTCAGAAAAGAGAAGTAAAGCACGGGTTGTCCTTAGTAAGACGGAAATTAGATCAAAAACCCTAAATAGCGGTTTTTGAATACAGAAAAACTGTGAATTCAATGTGGGTATTTCCAGAATCGGGGTGACGTGGAGACCGGAAATCGTCGACCAACGCCATCTTGAAATCCAAGATGGTGGTTTCCGGTTATAGGAAAACTGTGAAATAATTCAAAGTGTTTTTATGTTACTTCATACGCGAAGTTAGCGATTTTCAGAATTGGTTGGAAATGCTAACATGAAGCTTTAGTGTGATAATTTATTAGCTAGAGAATGATATTAAGAAGAGGGTAGGTGGAGCTCATTTTCAACTTCTATACAATTTTCATACTGCCGTACTCTAACGGAACTATCCACCTACCCTCTTCTTAATATCATTCTCTAGCTTATAAATTATCACACTAAAGCTTCATGTTAGCATTTCCAACCAACTCTGTGAAATAATGTCAAATAGTCTTCAAAATAGTATTTTTGGAATCAGGATGACGTATACATACCGAAAATCAATGTCTTACGCCATCTTGAAACCCAAGATGGCGGCTTCCGGTTGTAGAAAAACTGGGAAATACTAGCAAATACCCTTCAATATGGGTATTTTCGGAATCGGGATGACGTATAAAGACCGGATATCCATGTCAGACGCCATTTTGGAATCCAAGATGGTGGCTTCCGATTATAGAAAAACTGGGAAATAATGCCAAATATCCTTCAATATGGGTATTTTTGGAATCGGAAATACGTATATATACCGGAAATCAATTTCTGGCGCCATTTTGAAATCCAATATGGGGGCTTCCTGTTATAAAAAAAAACTGGGAAATACTGCCTAATACCCTTCACTATGGGTATTTCCGGAATCGGGTTGATGTCTAGAGATCAAAAATCAATGTCTGACGCCATGTTGAAATCCAAGATGTCGGCTCCAGGTAAAAGGAAACCAGCAAATAATGCCAAATATCATTCAATATGGGTATTTTTGGAATCAGGATTTTGATTTCCAGTCTTTATTCGTCATCCCGATTCCAAAAATACCCATATTGATACCCATATACCGGATCGTAGACCGAATCTCTCGCTCTCAAAAGAGCGATCTTTAGTGAGACTCATCCATATGGAAAGCGAAAGTGATCTGTTGTTGGTTTGCTGCCAACCGAACGATGGCTAGAACAATAGCCACGGTCTAACAGTCTACTTTCCTACTGCTATATCATACGGCTGGTCAACTGGCTAAGTTGGTGATCGCAGTGCTAGAAGACCAGAAGGTCCCGCGTGAAACGTGCTCAAATTTTTGGCCCAGCTATGGTACTCTCTTCGGTCCCAAGTTAATCGATGCACCCCTTGAAGCATAGGAAAATCCACGAACCCCTCATTTTATCTTTCGAAATTTAATAGCGAATCAAAACAAACATAATGTAGAGCTAGAATTTCGACTAGAATGGGGCACGTTAATCGATGTACTTGGGACCGATAGACTAGTCCAGTGTGAGCCAACATCCAAAATTTAAAATCGTTTGTTTTTACCGATTTGTGCTAGGGTTCATATTGTCAAATCCTGATGAATGTGGGCGTCTTAGTAAAATACCCAAGGGGTAGGTCGCTCCGTACACCAATCTTGGGTCATCTTTTTTTTCAGTGTGCCACAAGTGTGCCCGTGCCGCAGGTGTGCCGGTCATAGAGCAAGCTGTGATTGTTTGTAAAATACCTATCTTGGCAACCCGGTATTTCTGACACCTTGAATGTTTTGGTTTGAAATCAGAATCAGGATAACGTGGGAAGTGGAGGGGGAGGGGAGGGTGCGAAATTGTTTTGTGTTCATAGGATAGTAAAAGTCCTGTGTTTTAGGGTTTAATAATGCCCTCAAAGGCAGACCAGAAACCTAGCCTTTCGTGATGAGAAAAGCAACGGTCTATCAGCAACCGGAAAGAGTTGGAACTGGTGGGGAACATTGTTTGAAACCGACTCTAGAGGATGATGAATAGACTTCTGTAGTTTGTTTTGTGTGAGTTGCAGCATTATTTGAATTGAGGATACTAATGGGGTCTGATTCACTGCCTCTTTCTCTTGAGCCTGGTTGAGCTGGTTTGAGTTCCTCTGGTATATTCGATTAGAGGATGTTCCTGAATATACAGTCAAACAGTACGTAATGTTGTGAACAACCTCAATGACAGTTGTCCAGCAGTGCTCCCATTTTATTTACAGCAATCCAATGCCTACGAAATTCCCTCCCCATGGCTAGTTTTTGCCCCTTGACGTTGGTGGGAGGGCTTAATCTCATGTCATAATGGAGCGTTGGAAATTGTGGGTTTATACCTGTATAAAAAAAAAAAGGATTATCAATTTCCATTTAAATCCACTACCTCATTTCCTTATCCTTGACAGCAAATTAGGTACACGGATAGAAAATTAATGTTAATGAAGACCATGTGTTAAATTAAATGTGTGAATGACCACAGTGTTCCATTTCCTATATCTCCCGGCAAACATTTCTGCCCACAACACTCCTTTTAGCGTTTTCCTATTCACCAGCAGAGATTGAATCGATTGCTTAGTTTCTATTAAAAAGGCGTATTGTAAGACAAACAATCGATTTGCATTCAATCCCTTTCTTCGTTTACATAACCTTCGTATAGGCACACACATTCACAAACAAAAAAATAACTTTTCCCTCCGCGTGGGCATCGGCGTAGGAGCAGGCCATGCCAACAAGTGCTCGATTTCGATGAATCCAAGCATGCATCCAATGCTGATACTTATCCTATTTTGCATAGGTAAACATCAAACGTCAAATGTTGATCTGAACAGAACGTCAGTCCGTACCACTTATTCCGATGCAATAGGCGTTTAAAACACGGGACCATCTTGAGAACCGGTTTGATGATACAGATTTTAAAAATTTTGCACAGTGGGGAATGACATTTTAAAATAAATTTTTCGAATAAATCAATAAATTAAATCGATTTCCAACAATCACGATTAATGTCATGCCAAACAAACGAATCAATGAAACATACTTAATTTTAAAAATATAAGTGTTTTAAAACTTATCTCAAAATTTTGAAATCTGCACCATCAACCAATTTTTTTTTCAAGATGGCCTCAAGAGGCCAAGTTTTAAACGCCTATCGAATGTGTCTCAACTCTTTCAAAATGTTTTGACAAAAAAGTGATACTGTTTCCAATGGCTGTAATTGATTCTGTATCCACCTACAAACCAAACAGCTCCCATCCAAATGCTTTCGTTTCATTCTGTCGTTCTCCGGAATGTGTGGAGTAAACCTTCCCCCCCCCCCCCCCCTCCAAACAAACTGCAAAGAATTCCGACCAACTCAAATTCCAGACCCTTTTGCCATGCGTCATCCGGAGACAGAATGTAGATAAAGATGAAAAGCAGATATCAATCTCCTGCCGCACAAAGTTCTGATTACATTTCAATAATCTCCTTTCATCCTTCTACCTTCCCAAACAGCATCGCTCGGTTACTTGTCCGTCGGAACGATGGTGGCCTGGAGTTGCAATGCTTTCACCAAGGTGTACATCAATTTGGACGATCTGACGCAGCAGCGTTTGACACTGACGCGGGGTGACGAGGTACGTGAATTTATCCCCCCCCCCCAAGGCGGTACAGGCATAGTAATGATTTATTTTTTTGGGTGTAGCTTTCGCAAAATCAGCGTACGTCCCTGGCGGCGACTCCGGCCCTGGCTGCAGCGATTGCGGCGGTCGTCGTCTACAAGCTGTACTACAAGGTGGGCACCAAGTTGTTTATGCTGATGGCGGCCAGCTTGATGATCGCCTCCAACTGTTTGCTGAGCTTTGGGTAACAACGAAGATTGGGTTTTAATCTGACGCCAACATTGACATTTATGTTTCCAATCCAGGACGTCGTTTTGGTTCTTCAGTGCCGGCCGGGCGCTGGCGGGAATTTCCGCCGGGATTTGCTACACGCTGATTCCGCCGTACGTGGACGAGTTCGGTTCGAAGCAGTTCAAACCGCTGCTGGACAGCGTGCTGTACGTGCAGTTTGCGCTGGGGATTCTGATTCAGCTGATGTCCGGTAAGTGAGATTTTGCTGTTCGAATAGGCAATCTGAACGTAAACAGGGGGAGCGGCTGATAAGACTTTTCCTTGGTGTAACGTATATCGATTGCGGGCATGTTAAATAGACCCCTTCCCGTCATCTACTGAAAATAAAATTTAGTTTATATCTAACAGGAAGTGACGACAGCTGGCTTCTTTTTGGCTGTGACGTGTTCTTCTTTTCTCGCGGAAACGACCGTGCAAAAATTAATTCATTATGGGCGACGCAGTTGACTGTCAAACTACAAGAAAATAGGTTCCCTGTTGTAAAAATTCTCGCGTTCCTATACGTTCGCCCGACCAATCAGGCGCTGGTTCGCGTTTGACAGAAAATCGAATCATAAAAGCCCCCTTATTGTCTCCTCTTCAGCGAAAATGATTTATTTGTACCACGAATTGATTCGTTGTTTTCTGCAACGAAATAGATTATTGAAGCGTATTTCGTTAAAATTGGCATACTGCCTTTTCGTTCGTATTGATAACGAATGTTTCACAACATAATTACGAATTATTCGTGTGAACTGTAAGGAACAACTTAGGCTCTGAACCATTTGGTGGATTATTTTAACTTTTGGTTAAAATTTGACAGATGGAAAGTTATCGATGAACCCTGCTATCCGAGCATGGTTATTTCTGACAGTCAAGAAGTTAAATTTTGACAACGGTGGGTCGAAAACCGGTCGATCGACAACACGGGGATTTTCGAACATAGAAAATAACTTTCGAAATGTCATTTTTACCACGAGTTAATTTTAACTCGGCAAATGGTTCACAGCCTAAATGCATCTTCCATACTCAATTCCCATTCTGGACTATTGTGTTATCTGTCAAACTTTCATAGCGAATCAAAACAAACATAGTGTAGTAATAGAATTTCAACTAGAATAGGGTACGTTAATCGTTTGCTTGGGACCAATAGGCTACTAAAGTGGTGAGCCAATTTAAAATCGTTAGTTTCGTATTGATTGTTGATCGAACTGTCATTCGATTGAAACAGATTTTGACAGTTGGAAGTCGTCCATATTTCAAGTCAACCCCCGTTCCGTCTAAACACCTGAGACTGTGTTCCATTTGGTGAATTTTCACTTGAATTTGACACTTGGAAAATAAATTATAATGTTCGAAAATCGCTCTATTGTTGATCTTCCGATTTTCGAAAAGGTGTTTGTCACAATTGATTCCTTGTCGGTCAGAAATAACTCTGGTACAATGGAAGGTTTATTTTAAAATTTTCCATCTGTCAAATTTAAGTGAAAATCCACCAAATGGAACACAACCTGAATTTTTCCTATTCTCATGCGACATGCCTACTACGATAGGTGTCTCTCTGCCACGCGGTTCTCCACCGACTGATGATGTCAACAAGATTGTGAATCCCCCCGGTCGGTAGCCGTCTTAACTCGATGATAGGAATACGGGGCGCCAGCTATCTTCACCTTCATCCAACCCCCGCCCCCTTCTCATCCACCTGCTCGAGCCGTGATTGGATTTCGTAATCGATTAACGCCTTAGATTGGTGTGAAAGTCTCTTGCGGAAAGTGTCCGCGGAGATAAGGTGGAATGGGCTATCTTTCTGTAAAGCATATTCATTAGAAATTGCTTGCATGGATGGAGCGCCATTGGTAGACGGAACTGATAACAGGCAAAAGTCATCCCGTAGGCCGCGTGAAGTCGGTTCGCGACAAAATTTCCCTTCTCCGAGCCGAGCTGTCTTATCACTTGCCGGTAACGTCCCTGTGCTACGTGCCGCGAGAAAGGTTGCAATATTTTGTTTGCAATGCGAAAAGAAAGGCATGACATATTGGAGTGGAGTGGAAGCTGGGTTGGTGATTATCCGTTTTGCAAATAAATAACGTCGATTTTTTATTTCAGAAACAGAAACTGAAGCAGGTTGTTCAAATCCAGCTGTCGAACGCCCTACATTCAGGCTGTGTTCCATTTGGTGAATTTCCTCTTAAATTCGACAGATGCAATTGTACCAGCCTAATTTATGACAGACCAGGAATCAATTTTGACAAACCACCTTCGCGAAATTCGTAAGCTCAACAACAGGGGAATTTTCGAACATTATAATTTATTTTAGAAGTGTCAAATTTAACCCGTAAAATCCCCGTGAAAAAATGAATCTCAGAGATGCCCAGGCCGATTAAGTTGAGATTTTGTTACCATCGTTCCGGTGAATGGTTCTTACATCTGTTGGGTGGTAATCCCCCCAGGCCCCTCCCTCTTTGTTATGTATACAGGACGTTCGGTTCCTTAGTGCAAATAATTTAAGGGGCGATAGAAGATCATATTTGAAGTAAAAAATTGTTCTACGCATATGATCAAATCTCAAAGATTAAAGACTGTTCAATTTATAAAACGGACACATTCATTTGACGATATATTTTATATTTATCATCCAATTTAAACACGGTTTTATGCATAACAGATTCTTATTATTCTATAACAATTGCAAAGTAAAAAAATCCACGAAATGCTTTTAATGATAAAACTGACGTACTTTTCCACGAATTCCTCTCATAAGCTTCTTTACAGTTTTCTGTGTGACCTTTCGACTAGCAGCTGACCACATTTTCTTTAACCTCGTTGACAGATTGTGCTTCTCTACCATCCTGTCGAAGGTTGCGCTTGATGATTGCCCAGTAACGCTCAACCGGACGCAGTTCTGGACAGTTTGGTGGATTATCCTCTTTCTCGACGAAGTTGATCTTATACGACTTCATCAGCTTGAGCGTAGCAGAAGCGTAGTGGGCGGAAGCAAGGTCAGGCCAGAACAGTGGAGGGATCTTGTGCTGACGATACAGAGCAACAAGTCGTTTTTGAATGCATTCTCTGCGATAAATTTCACCGTTCACATGAACAAATTGCTTGCCATACAAGCACTTGGCACAGGTAGTGTGATTGTATTCAGTTTGCAATATGTTTCATCATCCATTAAAATGCAACGGTTGCTTTGCTTCCTCAAAATTGTATCAAGCTTCCGGCATCGCTCTTTAGCTCGTTTGTGCTGTTCCGCGCTCCGTTTAGGCGCTTTCTGTTTCCTATAAATCTTGATATTCTTCCTCTTCTTTATGTTTTGGACCGTTCCGACGGATATTCCCAGTTTTTTGGCAATCTTACGTACAGAGTTAGATTCTTCAGACAACAAAAGTTCAACACATTTCTTCTCTATCTATAGGTTTGCAGCACCGTGTCTGGTTCTGGATTTTGGCAAATCTTCAACGTATGGTGCTCTCCAAACTTTCTGATGATTTGATACACAGCAGACTTCGATCTTTTTACAATTTTCGCAATATCTCTACAAGATAGTCGCTCTGAGCAGTATTTTTGAATAATTAAAACTCGGTTTCATCAATTCGTCCCATGTTCGGATCAAACTGTTTTAAAAAAAAATAAAAAATATTTGTGTTTTGTCAACAAACCTTTGTACACGGCGAAAAGAAATTCATCAAATTGAGGTAAAACGTTAGCTTTCTATCGTCACATGTAGATGTCAGTTTTATAAAATGAACAGTCCTTACTGAGTTAATGAACATTGTCTGTTTTGGTCTAAGGCCTGTACTCGAAAAAAAAATGCACCAATGTGTTCGCCAACAATTTATTTTAAGTCGGATTTTCATGAAAATTTCATGGAATGAACTAATACACATGGATTATGTTTCGGCATAATTACTTTATTCAATTTCCTGTCCATCGCTGAAAGCCCGTACCTTTCCCTTAAGACCCCACATTACATTTTGTGCAATGGTGGAGCCGACCTTTTTGGTCACTTTCATCCATTCTTTCTTCAACTCCAGCTCGTTCTTTAACACCTTGCAGGATTTTCGAACTTTGGCCTTCATTATGGCCCAAAATCTTTCCACCGGACGAATCTCTGGTGAATTTGGGGGGTTGGCGGTTTTTGGTACAAAAACGACGTTATTGTCTCTAGTTCAACGCTTGGACCTACCTTGTAACTGACAGAGGTATTCTCTCTTGCATCTGTCCCAAAAATGCTGTAGATGCTGCTGAACCGCTTGATATTGTCTTAAGCGGACTGGGGGTACCAACCGTAGTTCGGGAAGTGATTTTAATGAACTGCCAACCAGGAAATGTGCTAGGGAAAGAGACTCAAGATCGTTAGGATCATCTGACATCGGAATCAGCGGCCTGGAATTCAAGCAGCCGTCCACTTGAACTAGCAACGTGACCATATCTTCGTGTGAAACAGGATTGGAACCGATGACCTGTAGCATGTGATGTTTAGCTGATCGTACCGATCAGCTTTGATGTTTAGCTGATCGTCCTAAGTGTGGGGAGCCGGGAGGATTAAAATACGAAGTAATCCCTTCATTGGCACAGAACCTGAATACGTCTTGACGATGATCAGCATCCTTACATAGACGAAATAATTCCTCCAGCTGGTTCCGGGGTCCAACGAAATCCGTGCCATTGTCCAAATACAAATCGGTACACCTTCCTCTGCGTGTGAGTGCTTACAGGTGAGTGCGTCGGAGTGCTTACAGGATCCTCGCTGTGGACAAATTGGACACCAATTCCATGTAAGGCTACGTAGCCCTTCACAGCAGAAACCGTGACCCTCGATGTAGGTAGTTCTCCCATGAACTGCTGTCTTTGTTTTGGCTTCGGGTGGACACCTGCCTTGCAACGTTTCTTCCTCCGAGAGGCCAGTAGCGTGGCCGAACCGTTCCAAGCAGAAGTTGCGGACCGGCGTGGAGCAAACGAAGATGGTAATGTTCAAAGACCATCCTGGTTAACCGGTGTCTTGCTGGAAGATTCATGCGATGTTTGGCGTCGTCAGGCTCTTTCGAATTACGCAAACGTCCACCGACTCTTAGAATGCCATTCTCGCAAACATAAGGATGATACCAGCGAAGTGGAGACGTTCGAATGACAGGTTCCTTATTCCGAACAACTCCTAGCTCAGCCGGAAATACCTCTTCCTGTACCTTTCGTATCAACGTATATTCTGCT